TTGACAGCAAGAATGTATTTGATATTTAATTTCACACAAGTTTACACATATTTCATTTGGACATGTTGTTGAATTTCCTATAGCCAGCTACATGACTCATGAAAAGTGTCTTATGCTGATATTGTTAAATTATAATGCATCATCATCCAGGCTCAGACAGAAAGTATTTGACAGATGATGATCCCTTTGAGCTTCTTTTCAGATTAAAATCACTTTGCAGCTTTGACTATCAGGCAAGCGAGCACATTCTCTGCCTCTCGGGAATTTCCTAATTTTATTGGAGACTGTTACACTGTAGTCCAAATCGATACAAATCCATTTCTAAACAAAAAGCAAATTACGGATGTATCTAAACAAAGCTCTACATATAAACTGCAATTTATCCCATTCCTCGCACTCAGTAAAATTGCAGGTCTTCACCTGCACATCTGCAAAATGTAAAATCATACTTTAAGTTGTTCATGCTATGGTCTTGTAATCATTTGGAGCGTACATTTACAAGGAATTGTAAAAAAAAAAACAAGTGTGTTTTTACATTTTGATTTTACTCTTGTTATAGGTGTATTTGCTTTCTGCTATATAGAGTGATCACAAATAAAAACAGCCAAAGTGTAGAATATACAAATATTCTAACTCTTTCTTTGAAAATGGAACAGCACCATTTTTTTAAGCATGTTTAGACCATGAGCCATGACATGATGAAGCATGCATACAGTATACTGTATATGTATAGATAATCTTTAGCTAGATTTTATCTAGTCGGTAAACATGGCTCTGGAGCAAAAGCCATTGAATTTACCATGAAGAGAACCAAATGCTGGATTTCAAATAGTCCTAATTTCCCTTCTGGGTTTAGGGTCCCTCTCCACCTTGCTACATCTTAAATGAGTATGTGTTTATGAGTGTCTTACAATGAAACTGCTCAGAAAAATCCTGCCATTCATCCTGTAGTTGTGACCAGTTAAAGATCTTACACAGGTATCAAAAAGAATGTTCTGCATTATTAATTTCAATATACTGTACATCTGTGTATTTGTGTCATAATTTTGACTCTTTGGTTGCTTCAACATCTTGTCATTATGATGTTATAATGCAAACTATTCACAGGAAGGTTAAAAAGGCCTTGCAATAACCTTACCTGGAATACTCTTTATGATAATGGTTGGATCATCTTGTGTCCTCGTGCTAACAAAATATGTACCTAAATTAGAACTATTTAAAACCCAGACATTCAATTCCCCTTTTCTTGCTGGTCAGACAAAATTGATAAAATTTGATAGCAACAATATCTGCAATAACATGTACTTCCATCCACCTGGAATATACATGCTGTACAATAGTGGAAATTCATAAAAAGAGAAGGAGACATTTTAAATTACTTATTGCACTAAAGGTTAAAAGTACTGCAAGATTGTCTTTAAATGCCCCAGTCTATAAATAACAAACACATTAGGATCATGTGGGTTCTTAAATGGAGGTTCTGTAAAAACTACTTTCATGCAGCAGTAAAGAAAATAATAATGTTGGTTGGACCTGACGGAACATGACTTAGTTGTGCAATCAAAATGTCACACTCTGTGATGGAATTTGCTTTCCAGAAATTAAAGTATCTATTTTTTTATTACATTCTGAACTGGAGCATACTGATTGTGCTCCTTCTCTGTCTGAACTTTATTAAATCGAGAGCTTTCAATGCCTGAAATGCAAGATAATATACATCTAGTCTCTGTGGGCTGCTAGTGTCTACTGCAAAAAAAAATCTAAATGAAAACCTAAAAAAAGCCAAGGAATTGACATTTGATTTCCTTTAGCTAGAACAAAAAAACGTAACTAATAGTCAATTTATGGACAATGTTGCTGGATGTCTAAAAATACCCCCAAAGTACTTTTAAAGACTATAATGAAGACATAGTTATGTCAATATTAAGCTTAAGATTTAATATGTTCACTGCAGCACTTTCAGAAAAAAGTTAGCCTCGTTTATTTTTAATTGACAAAAATAGCAACTGATGCTAATGTTCACGTGTGTGTTCTGCAGTTGCTGGAATTACGCAGAGTAAAGAGCAAATTGCTTCTCAAATTGACTTCAGAGCTTTGCAGGGATAGTTTATTAACCCATTCTGTCTGTTAAACCCTTGATTCCTTTGCAAGTACTGCAGATAAATATGAGGTTATCTACAAAGAGTAAAAACTAAACTAATAGGGAAATGCAAGTATACAAGTGAACTGAACCTCTTAAGATATTGTATCCCATAGGATGTTTGCAGAACAAAGCATTAAATTACACACAGGAAATTTAAAATGAATAGTATTGGTAAGCCCTGCATGATTCAATTCTTCATTTGACAAGCTGCACCTTTCATTTTGCCAATTGAGAAAACTACAATAAAATATATAGTGTGGAAAAGTAATGACAATTACATTTATGTATGTACCATTTTGGCAATATGGAGCCCTTGAGTTAGGTATCCCTATGTACGTGACTGAGACTTGGTTTGTGCACTACTTACTATAGGGTATATAGGGTCCTGAAAGACGCTTCATGACATGTTCAGTGTTGTTCCTCCATTCCTCTTTAATGTTACATCTATGCACATCTCACCCTCCGGTGGTCAGTCATTTGTTAGTATGAACATCGTCAAGATATGTGAACAAGAACCATGAAACTTCCTGGATTTTCTGCCAACATTGAGAGTTGCACTGTTTTCAACCTGTGGTCGATGCACTGTAATACTGTGTTTGCCATTGACAGAATTATGGTATCACCACCAAATCTATATTATATCTTAACTGAGGGAATTTTCCATAGGTCTGCAGTGTGATTCATCAGAATAAAAAAAACCTTTTCCATATTCATGTGGCCTGTCATGTTGACGTACAGTCTGCAGTCACACAGCCCATTGATGCTGAGTCATGATACTAGAATTATAAGGAAAGTAAATGAATGTAACCAACTCTTCCATGATGCTCATTGTAGGGCAGCAGAGTGGCGCAGTTGTTAGCATCGCTGCCTTGCAGCTCTGGAACAACTCCCAAGCTACTTCTGCATGGAGTTTGTATGTTCTCCCTGTGTTCGTGTGGGTTTTCTCCAGGTGCTTTGGTTTCCTACCTACTGATAGGTCAGTTGGCTCCTGGGAAAATTGTCCATGTTGTGAGTGTGTGAGTGTCTGTGTCTGTGTGTGCCGCATGATGAACTGGCATCTCATCCAGGGTGTACCCCTCCCATTGCTTGCTGTGAGAGCCTCTGGCTCCCAGGTGACCTGTATTGGATACAGTGGCTAGGAAATGGAAGAATGGATGATGCTCGTGGTAGTGTAGTCTGGAACAAGCCATGCTGATTTACTGGATTATTTCATAAAAGGGCTGGCTAAGATCTTTGGATCAATTAGCTGCTACAGTAACTACCGAAGAGGCTAGTTGGGCCAGATGGTCTCCTCTCGCTTGTACAGTAACTGTTATTATATTCTTGCTGTATGTTGTTTAGATTAGTAACCAAAGTTGTTGCAATGTTCTTGTTGATCTTATCATTAACTTGTACATGTAGTTAATTAAATCCTGGTCAATCATGGGCTCCTTTCTGTTAGCAGTCTAGTGATGGTGACTGGATGGTTCCTGCATCCTGTTTAAATTCACATTGAGACACCCACTCCAGCATAAGTCAGAGCATTTTTCTTCCTCTCTTGAAAAGAAAGACTTTCTACATGCACACAGCACATTTGCATGTGTGAACTCAGAAACACACATTTCACTTAATAAGTGTTGTGTCACACATTTTAAAAGGAGCAGATAGCTGCCTGTAACTACATTTTAGGTAGCTGAAAAAAAGAATAACACTCCCCTCTTCTGGCTATATGCAGATTTGCATCTGAGATGTGAAACATAGTAGGGCTGCATGAATCCATGAGACATAATACCTCAATATATAAAACAAAGGGACCTCTGTGGACAACCAGGAGTTGATACGATGAGGATCCCTTGGAGCATCAAGATATGGTACAACAGAGTGGGCTTCATGAGTTTGAATTACTATTTTAATTATAAGACCGTTATAAGAACTGAAGTGGAGAAGAAAGTTTTAAACTAAATGTTTTGGAGTCTTTCATTATCACTATTACTGTGATTCTGTTGTATCGTGTTCTGATTATAACTGTGTGAATCGCGGTATGCTTTCTGTTTTAGTCTTTGTGATAAATTTTAGATTTTGGAGATTTCATGAAATCTTAGAAGCTAAGGAAGGCTGGGCCTGGTCAGATTTAGACTGAAGAACTCCAAAGACAACTTGGATGCTACTGCAAGAGGTGTTAGAAAACCAATAGGAAGCACTTTCCCATGCAGTGCCCAATATGATGATCGAAGACACTGCTCTATAGGACAGGCGTCTCCAGCCGGTGTCCACACCTGCTGCTTTGTGTTCCATCCATGCTGCCATGAACTCAACAATTGTTTATTTCTTAATTAACTTGAACTTCAATTGTTTTCAACTCTTAACTATTTTGGAATTTACCTTTCACTGTTGGGCTTAAACGTAGCCAGGCATTAATTAATACAATTAAGTAAAGAGCTCAGCAGGAATAAAAAACAGCAGATGTGTTGACATCCACGACCATGGCTGGGAACACCTATAGGAACAGCACAGGCCAATTAAAGACTTGATCCTGTTATATCAGACTTATATCAAGACCAGTGCCAGACCACAAATTCATATTTTGCACTATGTAGGCTACTGAATGCACTTTGTAGAGAAACTGTGATGATCTTACTGTGTATTAAGCATTTATCAAGAATTTAAATTATTATAACCGGTTATTCTTTGGTAAAATCCATTATTTTAAAATAAAGGTTGCAATAAACTATATACAGTACAGCACATCTTGAAGTAAATGTTTTTCTTTTTCATTCTTTAAATTACAAGTACAAAGCAAACAGAACACACCACATTGTGTATACTGTTAACAACAGAAGTAATGTTTGCACTCTGTAGCCATGGTAACACAGTATCATGAAAACTCACCATAAAACTGAGTTTGACGCAGAACGACTGTAAGGATTAATTTCTAAGCACACAGCATGGCATGGGAAAATGAGAACAACTATTATCAAATGCAAGTTTGGAACCAGGATCCACAAAGCGTTCAGATTATCCAACAGCCTGTAAGTTTTTTACTTTGTGTATATGCATTTCTTCCTTCACTTTCACGAGAGTCACAAGGCAAACTTGGGAAAGTTTCACTACTGTGTAATACTGTAGCTCTTGAACACTTGCAGCACTGCAGCACCTGAACAACACAGGTGGAGATTTTTTTTTTGTTAAATTACAGTACCTGTTACAATTACAATTTGTCTGTCTAGCTTGTATAGGAGGTAATTGAATCAAGAAATGCATGCAGCTCACAGAAGCCAGTTACCAGTTTAGACTTGCTAGCCTGTTCCATATTCCACCAGTCATTCAAAGGGGTAGATTGATGAGTTGGCAGAAAAAGCTCTGCAATTTATTCAACCACTGAAAGAGCATCAATAAAAAAGAATATCACACAAGTAGAAAACAGAAAATACAGCCCATAACACAGAATATAGCCTATACACCAACATACTTCATAGCTATTTCAAGCGGAAATATGACAGAAATCCAACAGGACATGAATTGTAGTCTTTATGGCATTATACAATGTCATAGTTGGCACTATGCTTGACTTATTGGCTTTGATCACATTTTTTTTAATATCTGATATTCCAAAAGTAAGAATTTGATTTTATGTAACGCTTTTTATACCAAAGTGCTTCAGGTATTGAATGGGAACCATTGTGTCCACATCTTAAGTGTAATACCCTTTTGCTTTATGTGAAATGTTACAGTCAAGTAATAGAAGGTGCTGAGGTGAGAAAAATAAGAGAAGACTAGTTAGGGTGCCCTGGAGCAGCTCAAATGAACAAGCCTGCAGATCGTCATGGAGTCCTGCAGTCTGATTGCAAGCTCTGATTCCAGGCAGTGCCACCTCCCTATTCCAGAAACAGTGAGCTAATGTTGCTCAGCTGGTGTTGTGTGTGAAGGCTGACCAGATAATGTTTAGATTTGCTTAAAAAAGCACCTCCTAACTGTCTTTCTGGTTCAGGCCTGGCTCCATCTGAATATAGTGAAAAAAAATAGGTGTTGGAAAATAATCCATAGTGGTATATTTTAATATACCTCTTATAATATGACGATAGGTTAAGTTAAATGACAAATGGCTATTAAATACTCCAGAAATAAAAACAAATATGAACCGAGAAAATCAAAGGTGAACTGTACAACAGAGAATCTATTGCAGAAAAAAAACACTGCCTAGATCTGAGCTGGCTCACAGTGGCACCTCCAGGATCTGCACCACATAACACCACTTCCCAGACAGAGTACTGGCTGAACCCAGACCTGTTAGTCTGTGACAGGCTCAGAGTCAGAGTCACAGTCATACTGTATGAGCATGTTACAAGCTATCCTTTTCAGGGCTGCACAGACCATAAGAGATTGATGTTTGTTACTGCTCTGGCCAAGTGGTTACATAACCACTCCTTCACTGATGCTTAAACAATGTAGATTATCAATGAAATATGCTGAAGCATTGCTCAGAAGAACTTCTGAGGACAGAATTCACTCTGATCACCTGCTTGGCCCATATCTCTTGCAGGTACCACAACAACCAACAGCAATTATACAGCAGCTTCCATCAGCGATGTACCCTGCAGTGTCTCCTGTCCAACCAGGCCATGTCAAAGAAGGTAGAACTGGGGACTCCATAAAGACCAATGCTATTTAGTTAGAATTGAAAACTTAAACACTTGAACATCTTTGCTGTAGTAATCCCCACCTCTTAAGAAGTGATATGTTCTTTTTGATTGCATGAATAATGTAACAATACACTGGACCAAAACTCTAGCTACACTAATGTAATCTGCATTAATTGTATAATGGTTTGTGGCACTCATTAAATGAAAGAATTGTACCTGAAGTTCCTGAAAATTCATTTGAATTGACTGATCATTGAAAAATGCCACACACTGATAATTTATAGTCGTAAGTGAAATGAGCATATAAACACCCTGGATAATCTTCATGGATTTATTTTAATTTGGTGGGTCATGATATTCTGCACAGAATATACAGTGCATAGAACCAGAGCATAAGCACCACAGTATTGTGTTATATTGTGTAATTATTGTTATATTGTGTAATCTCATAAAACATAGAAATGTGCATCTAATACTTTTTTCAAACAGAATACTTACTTAGTGCTTATTCCTCCTGTTACTGCTTCCCAAATCACAGCATTAATCATACAGCTGTTTTGCTATCCTGCTGTTTCTGTTTTGTGACAGATTTAGTAGAACTGATGATGATTCAGAATGCCCAAATGCACCAGGTCATAATGAACAACATGACCATGTCTGCTCTGAATGCCTTTGGGTATTCACAGTCAACTCCACAGCCTCCCCCAGAGGTAAGTCATATCTTTTAATTCTTCTATTTGCTGTATTGTTTTCTCTTGTAGTTTCAGATCACTACAGGGAGAACTGACCTTCACAATGCATAGCAGGATTTACATTTACTGTATGAGATTACTAAGAATACTAAGATATTATGAGTATTTACAATGGTATGGAGCATTCAAAGGTATTTTCAATGTTTGGAATACAATATATAACTTTAAGAAAGTTCACAGGATATCATACTTTATATATTATTCATCCAATAGTTAGCAACTCCTTATTACCTAAGATATGGTTCCAAATGTTATACTCATCCCACGGTTTTAAACCGTCAAGTAAATGAATTTCTACTAGGTCGCAATAAGCTATCCTCACAGCCGTTGAAGTTTAAACTGGGTTTATAGTATTCATTCTGATTGACTTGGTATTCACTTTGTGGTGTTTAGCCTCCTAGATACCCTATAATTGTGGAAGAGGAGTATCCAGAGCCTGTTTATCACCATCACTATGAGCCCTTTCCTTCTTACGCCTCCTGGGCTCAGGTGCCACAGCAACCACAGAATTACCAGGATGCTAGTATGCAGCATGTGGATCCTGTAACTTCTCCTAACAAAGACATGTGAGTAAGTCAAAGACATGGATCATTGAAAAGCCTTTAATGTACTAGATTTGATTGTCTTAATTAAGGGCTTAATTGGTACAGTGTGTGCTCGTACCCTATTTTCCTATGCTGTTAGTAGCAGTTCTGACTCAAAAGATGAAATGATAAAGATCAGATAAAGATGAAGATGAAGAGTTTGTATGTTCTGTCTAAGTTTGCATGAGTTTTCTTCTGGGTGCTCTGGTTTCCTCCCACAGTCCAAAAATATACTGATAGGTTAAATGGCCTCTGGGAAAATTGTCCCCAGCTGTGAACGTGTGCGTGTCAGTGTGTGCCCTGTGATGGGCAGGTGTCCCATCCATGGTAGCCTGATTTGTGCCCATTGCTTGCTGGGATAGGCTACTGCATTGGAAGAAGTGGCTAGAAATTGGATGGATGGACGAACAGAACAACAACAAGCTCCTCAAACTGTAGTGAACAGTGAAGAAACGTAGTGTGCTCAGCCATCTTATCAGAAAAACATTTTCCTTCTATCAGTTATGCATCTGCTTTTATAGTTTCCTCCTCTGCCCCTGGGCTCTGCTGGGTGAAGGAGGCTGAGATTACCCTTACAGTATATATTCTTTCATGATTTTCAGCACCTTGGTCTTTTCATTTTCTGGTTTATCTTGCAATGATGCCTAGTGAACTGACACCAGCTCTCCCCGTACACAGGAGAGCAGTTCCACCTCCACCTCCCCCGAGTGCTACTGGTACAGTAGGAGCTGACATACCGCCGGCTGCAGGTACTGTGGTCTTGACAAAGGTTGTAAAGCTTTATGAAAAATTAAAATCTTTTAAAAAATCAACTGCTAGTGCAATACCATAGAAGAAGAGTTTCCCAGGAGGGCCAGATGTCTGCTAGTTTTTGATCCAAGTTGAGCTCCCAGTTACCGGGGAAAGTGAAGTGGTTAGGGCTGTGGACGAGCTGGAGTATTGTGGGATCAAAGGAGAGGCAGCTGCTTCTACCCTCAGTTTGCCCCTGTTAATGCCCTGCTTTATAAAGTGCAACTCTCCACATTCTCACAGTAATTGTGAATTTAAGAAAGCTTAAAAAGCAAGATTACAAAGGCGAGGGAGACAGTGGTCCTATCAGTTTATTTAGTTGCTATTATCTTATTGGTCTAAGGATCTCATTCAGTTATTTCTTGAAGACTCCCGATGAATGCAATGCCCAAAATTGAGATGGCATATCTGATTTGGTAAATAGAAAGAGCACCAGGAATATAAATAAAACTATTCTTTATAGATTTCAGTTCCAAAAAATATATACAGTAGACCATAAAACTGTGGATTGTAATTTACAGAATATACTGTATATACATTTTGATTACTTCTGTCTTCATTGTTTTTCTTACAGAATATTATGATGCAACAGAAGACAGGATATGATCCTGTGATCCTGGGTGGACAACACCAGCCGATACAGGCCCGTTGTTGAAGTGAATTGTTAAGATTACCACACTTGTAGCGCACATGCTAGAAATGGTTGTCACATTTGGAACAAAGTTTATAGGCCACGATTTTTTACTAAAACCAGATCTTTTTATTTCTTTATATCAGTGGAGCCCAGATCTGGTCCTCATATACTGCTGTTCAGCAGGTTTCAGAGGTCCTTCTAAATCTCCAGCTACTTATGAACACAGAAAAGCTTTAATTGGTCCAATTCAGCAAAATAATAAGTTCAATCTGGTAATTAAGGTTTGGAAGGAAAACCAGAAATCTTCTTGGCCCTTCAAGACCAGAGCTGTGTAATTCTGTTTTATATCAACTTTTCCACTTTAATGTAACAATTCCACTTCAGGTTTCTTGTGACCAAGTCAGGCATGGCTCAGGTCTCAGTTTCTGGCAGATCAAATCGAGAAATTGAATTCTACAGTCATGATTTTAGTTCTATGAACTGCCTACAGTCTTCTTCTATGAATTACTGTTTGGTAAGGGATCTCAAGGTGTGAACTTTCACAACACACCTTCACAGATGATCCCCTTGCAGATCTATATACAGTATATTAAAGTATATACTGTACATACAGTATGTAATGTGCATAGATATGTGTGATTTTCATAGATATAGTTTCTGAAGGATTTAAATTTTTAACTCTAGATATAAGTTACAAGCACCACACAAAGAGCATTAATGTACTTTAAATGAAGTGCATACAGATTCAAGACTGAAAGG